CCCCCCCCCCCCCCCCCCCACAGCCTCCCCAGTCCTGCTTGTGCCCCTTACACCCCCTTAGCCCCACACATGCAGGCACAGACACAGGCAGACCCTTGCCCCCCCAAGCAGGTAGGCGTGTGGGGTGGATGAGGGAGAAGGAAGGGGTTGGAGGCAGATCGAGAATGGGGGTGGAGGGGAGGAGTGCACCTCTGTGCCAGCTCCCAGGAGGGGGACAGGGGGGTGTAAAGGCAGCGGTGCCCCGCTGCGGGCCACACACAAGCCGCCTGGCCTGGGGAGAGGCAGGGCTTGCACGCAGTGGTCGCCACTGCACCACTGCCCTCGCCCCCCTGGCCCTGCTCTGGGCAAGCAGCACAGGGTGCGGTGGCCACCACCACGCCACTGCTGCTGGCAGTGGCTGCCCCAACATCACACACAGCAGCCGCCAGCACCACTGTACCACTGCCATGCCTTGCACTGCTTGCCCAGAGCAGGGCTGAGTGGGCTGCACATGCCCGCTCAGGTGGTAGGAGAGGAGGGAGGGGCTCACATATGGCAATCACCACCCCGCCACGTACCACGGCTTTCCTGCTGCCAGTCGTGGGCAAGTGGCACGAGGTGTGGCGGTGCAGTGGTGACGACAGTGGTTGTGTGTGAGCCACCCCTCCCCCCACCAGCTGGGCGGGCGTGTGCAGCCTGCAGAGGGGCACCGCTGTCCTCGCTCCCCCCCTGCTCCTGGGAGTGGCCAGAGTGAGCTGAGGTGGGGAGCCAGGGACGCCTCTCCGCCACCATGCCATTGGGTGCGCTCTGCAGGCTGTAACTCAGCTAGCTTGCTGGGCTCTTTGCAAAAAGAAGAAAATTTGCACGTTTCCCTGCTAAAAGGGAAATGGAAAACCCGGATCCCTGCTGATAAGACACTGAATTTTACCTGGACAAATGAAGCTTTGCTCCCTTTGTAGTGTACAACTTGCTCTGTTTCAACAAAGTTAGCTGCATGTCCTTCTGAATCAATACCTGTATTAGGGGGAAAAAACACCACAGGATTCCAGCTCACAACCAGTCACAACATTACTTTAAGTCAGAACTGAGGTCTTTCCAGAATGTAACAGTTCCACAGAATGGCCAGAAAAAGATGGAAAGTTATTTCTACAGAAGACAGATTTGCTACCCCCCCCCACCCCGCCATGGCATACTTTGCCAGCCCACAGAGCAAAGCAGGGTCTGTGTGCATTTTAAGAGCACAACTTTTAAAATGTTAAATATCCAAAGATGCCAGAGCCTAGGCAATGAAGTCTTTCCAAATGAACAAGAAACAGTATATGTATGCATGCTCCCTCATGAATACACCTAAAAACATAAACATACAAAGTATGTTAAGGATGAAGTATTTCAGTCCAGCTGCCCACTGAGCCTCAAACAGTTGGGGAAGGCATACAGTAAAAGCAATGTTAAGACTTCAAGGATATTAGCACACCTATACCCCCTCCCCAAGAGCTGGTTAACTATTGTTTTGTAAATATACAGCTTAACTCTATTTCATTATACATGAGAAAAATCTGTTTTTGTAAAGTTTTTTATCACTTTGATTTATAGTTAGTACAAACTTTTAAAAGTGAAGCAATTAACAACTGGCGAAACATTAAAAATGACTGCCTTTCAAATGCATTACTTTACTATGCTATTTACCTCAAAAGAAACTTAATAATACCTCTGGGAGCAACAAATGGAGATAAGCAATTTGTTAAGTAAACACATCTACATGTAATGATCCACACTAAAGTCCCAGAAATTTCTGGACATAAATTAAGAGTGAAATGGAAAATGATGGCATGGCACAAGTTTTCATCAGTCTGACAGAAACTAACCAACTAGTAGCATAAATTGTTAAAAAAAAAAATTATTCTACTTGAAGTTAGAGTGACTTCTCAAATGGTCATTGAATATCAGATTATATTATCATACCTCGCACATAGTAGCGTACCCCAGCTCTGAAACAGCTTCTTCTGGAAATAAGTAGCCAGTCAAAACACTTTCCGTTAATGGAACAAGAGTGCATAGTTATAACTGATGAGAGACATGTTAAGGAACAAACTCTTGCAATTGTTTACCATAGCATTTTTAATAAAAAAAGGAAGCAAGCAAATAAGCATAACATCATTTGACAATGCATAGGTACACACAATATTATTTTCCACCCCCATGACAAAAATATTTACCAACTTTTCATATTAAATTCTGCTGTTCAACTCCCGTATTGGTATGCGCATAATAAATGTTAAAGGCAGCAAATTAAAAAAAAATCTAGCAATTTAAAGTCCTCTTTCCCTGATGCAAAGGATAGGATTAGTCTCAAACATATCTTAAGAACACAGGACCTGAAGGAATGAGTCACTGAGCCCAGTTACTGCTACTGCAGTCGATCATATAGTATAGTTCCTTCCACAAATTTATCAAGTTTCATTTTAAAGTCAGTTAAATACCTTGCTTCTACTACTTCTCTCTTTAAAAAACAGAAGACCAGTCTTCCAGGAAAATATCTTTATGTCTTCTATAAGAGCTGCTTACACACATAAAAAGTTCTGTTATCAAGCTCTATCCATCTCTTTGTATCCAAGCACAATTTCAGAATTGTGACAGAAGGAAAAAAAAATCCCCAATAAAGAAAAACTGAAACAATAAGGAAATACTGAGAAACAGAACATACTTTCTGGTGCCTTAGTTATTGTTTAGCCAAAGTCAACAAAATGTCATCCAGTTGCAGCTCTACTTGGACTTTTCAACAGCCTGTTGGATTATTAGAAATCCAGGTTTCCTGAGGGCAACACTGTTTATAACCAACCTAACATATCAGGTCAGGTTGGAGTGATGGGAAAGATGCATGTTCTTCTGCATGCATCATTTTTATAAAGGGACAGTTTTAATATTATAGCACTGCTGGAGAAGGATTCTTGTAATTTTCAATTCTGTGTACTTCTGCTGGGATGAGCAGAAGGGCAAAATCTCCTATGAGCCAGGACTGCTTTAAGTTAACAGCCTCAAACAGGCTTGTTCAGTATCTTGCCAGGGCTACATCTTTACAGGAAAGATTTATTCTTTTAAATAAGATGTCATTCAACAGATCCTCATCTGTCCGTTTAAGTATGTTAGGTATAAGTATCCTTAAAGGCATAGAAGCAAGTTGTGAATGAAACAAGAAGTTATTAAGTCATGTTTAGTCTAAGAGACCATCCCCCAGTAGGGAACTTTTTTATTTATATAAAAAAAAGAAGTTTCTTGTAAGTATGAACAGTGTTAAATATTAAAAATCAGAATTCTTGCTCTTATTTTCAGATCATCTGAATGCAAAATGTGGCCTATAAACAGTATTACTACAGGGTGCCCTATGTTCTGCAATATTATTTAATGGATTTAGACTTCTTAATTACAATTAACATAAATTCCCTCTCCAGCATTATTTTATGCTTCTGAGTTACAAACTTAAATTAACTTTGAGTATCTTCACAAAGATTTAGTATACTTAAAGGCAATTTAAAATTGCAACAACACTTAAAAAGGATACATCCATGCATCACTGGAGTAGCAAACCTATGGATCTGAAATAGAAAGGATATTGTACTGCACATTTGAAATGTTTTACTTATTTTATTAACAACATGGTACCTGGATATATAAAAGTAAGAAAAAGATAAACAACGAGCATAGGAATCTCTAGCAAGAAGCAAACGTTGTACAGGGAAATTGAGGTGGTTAACAGGGCCTTTAAACAAAGAAAAATTAGATGTTTTCTAAACAAGCAATTTCTTTGCATAAATGCAAATATTTAGATTTTGCTATAAGTTAGTATGAAAGCTTATTTAACCCGTCTTCATTCAGTTAAATGAAAAATATTCTCCAAAGATACTACTGAGTGACATTAGCAATAGCAGACTGCTTTGGAATATAAATGGACATTTGCACTTGCATTTCTAAATTAAAGTATTTTTATCACAAACAAGCTATGTGTTCTCTCATATGTTTTTAGTAACTACTTGTTCATGTCCTACACCGACTGTAATCTAGTCTGTTAGATGAGAGAGAGGATAACCAACAACACGTCTTAGGCTATACAGTGTTCCTTAGCTAGGTGAATAATTTAAAACAAGTCTTAATTAATTGAGATATAGAATGTGGACTGTGTGCAACTGTCCAAAACAAATAAGGTAGGCTATTGCCCTTTTCACCAATTAGTATTTAGTTTAATTTGTTAAAATGGGGTTTGTCACTATAAGGCCACACATTTTCCTGAAGTGCAAAAATAAAAATGATGTGAATTAGACTGCAAGTCACCAGAAGATGTTAGACGAGTAGCTCTGCTGAATTTCCACATGCTCCCAAACAAGATCAAGAGGCCTCTTCCCTACTTCATACTTCCCTTCCAAAAGAAGTTCAGTCTTTCAAGTTGCCTGGCACCACATATTCTCTGGTGTGGCAGACAGTCTTCACCTTTCGTTTCATAATGCAGTTGCAGCAGTAAAGGTGGAATTACAGCTGGTATTGTGCAGGAGGCAGGTACAGTAGATATATAAAAGTGTGCCTTAATGCCAGGCAGTGTAGCTGCCATAAGACAGAGCACTTTTGACATCTGTAGTGGTCCTAACTGCCTGTACATCTCAGTTTTGCCAATTTAAAGGCAGTCTTATTCAGTATCAATGGAAAAAGAAAGCTTTGACTTGACAACTGAAGAAACTCAGCATCTCCCATTGTATTAATTTTTCCTATGCATAAATAAGCATGTAGTGCATGATTGAGAAGCAGAAGTCAAAAGGGGGGGGGCACCAAATGTGAAGCTCTTCTCCATGACCTTAACTTTAAGTTCTTAGGAATTCAAGCTACTAGGAAACAAAGCAATCATTCATAGTGCTTAGCAAAGAGTTGTGCATGACCATTCAAGTATTTGTACAGCCTGACTTGCATTAGAGTTTACTGCATCACATGTTTGTTTCTCTAAAAACTTATGACTACTTGTGGAATTGATCTGAAAAGTGAAGGCTTACATTTAGCAAAAGGTCAGTGCTAAAGTGGCCTTTCAACCAGGTCAGGCAATTCTAAGGGAAGATGACCAAACTCATAGCTGTGTCAAAGAAATGAGGCAGTTGTCCCCGAAAATGTATTTACCTTTGATAAACACAGCAGAGTTGTACCTGAGGCTTAAGTCAAATCCGTAAGTTAACAAAAAAGAATCCCATTTACTTCACTGTAGTTTTGAACAGGTTGCTGCAAATTGTCGTCTTTATCACGACTCATTGGCATGAAAACCATCTTAAATACTTCATCATCAAGGTTGCTATCAAGACTCCGGTAGCTTCTGCCCAAGCTGTGATATTTCTGGTCTCCCTAAGAGCACTAGTGTAAGTGTACGAACAGTGCACAGATTCGTTAAAAGCCCATTTTCGGTGTTTGTTAGGAGAGTAGCATGTATGGGCAATATGGCCATTTGCATTAAATAAGGGGTTATTAGGATCAAGTCATGAACCCTTATCTAAAGAAAAATATAAAGCTATTTGATTTGTATTTTTACCCCTGCTACACATTTTTAAAAATCCAGAATATCTAAAACCTTTTGTTCTCTTCAATTTCTAAATTCAAAGTCTTCTTAATGCTGCTTTAAGGGTCTCCACATTTGTTTATAATGCTCTGATGATTGATGTTGAATTAGCTGCAGATCAGATGTTTTGGCTTCCTTCCCTGTGCATACCAGTTATATCCTTTTTCACAATGTTTCTCTTGGCTTTTCACAGGTGTTCTCTCCCCACCCCACCTAAAATTCGTGTGTACAATGCCATCATCTCCCATCCAACACCTAACTAGCTCCTTGTGTCTTATTTAAGAAAGACAACGTCTAAAAGCAAGACATTGAAGAAATGTCCTCATTTAGAGTCCGTACAGTTGTATAAGTGGCGAAATGCACGCCAGCACTGAGAAAGTGGAGGCAGCACACTTTTGAACTGAAACACATCGGGGGTGCTTTAGTTCAAAAGCGCACCACTGACATTTTCTATGTGCTGACACACATTTTGCCACTTATACACCTGCACACAGAGCAGTGTGGTTTGCATCGCATCAGTTTGCGAGCAGAGCAGACTCGATTAAACGAGTCAGCAAAGCAGCAGATCTCCAGTATGTCACAGGACGAAAACATGTATAAGTACCCCAAGAAGTTATCTGCCACTCTTCTGGCCGTGTGAAATAAGACTTAACACAGAGCAAAAAAAGATAAATCACAGAGATTCCGTTTGTCTGGAGGAAAGTACATCTGAGCCCTAAAGCTTAACTTCTAGTATAGGTTACCTCTGGCTGAGCAGCAAATTCTCTAAGAAGATGCCCGTTCCACACAAACCGTGGATCTGCCTGTAACAAAAAGATAAAGTTAATGGTAAAGGAAAGAGCGCAGCACTCAAACCCCCTTCTGAGGGGTCGGCAAACTGGTTTTGGCCCAACTCAAAGACTGCAGGCACTCTCCACTTCCAGTAGCATTTGTGGGAGTGGTGGCTGCTCAGCATCTTTGGAGGGTGGAGGAAATATACAAATTCACTATTATTATAAATCAAATCAACAAAAGAGCTGAGCAGCTGCTGGCTCCACAGCTGAAGAGCTTTGGCTGTCCTAAAACTAGACAGAAAAACGAGATCAAAGTCCGAGCGATTAAGTTCTGTCTCTATTCTAAAGAAATAATGGAGAAGTGCAATGTTGGGCCCAGAATTCCAGGGTCATGATTACTATTTCCTGGACCTACAGAAAGATGCAAGAACTCATGCTTTTTACAACAACATTCAGTGGAGTCCACACATTCTGGACCAAAAAATAAAACCCACTGCCACCATCCTTGTGTTGCAGCAATTGTAATTTTTAAGAAAAACCCGATGCATCTAGAGTGCTAACCAGGCCCAAGCCTATTTGAGTGCTCAGATCCAAGATCAGAGTTTAGTATGGCTTGTTTACAAAAAACATCATAATCTATATTCTGTAATCTGTCAGCACTGTAACTTAGTATTAGCAAATAAAATGTGTGAAGAAAAAGAAAAAAACCAACCACACAACAGCGACATCTTGCAGATCTGCCATTTAAAAATTGTTTTACATAGCTTATCTGTGCTATAGCCAAGGCACACTGGATTGTGCTTAGTCTTAGATCTGATCACACAAGTTATTCTTAAAAGGTTCTGCTTTTAAAAAAAAAAAGAAAGAAAAGCAAATGTGTCTGCTTTTTAGGATATCTAACTGACAAAGCAGCAAGCTCAAAACAAAACTGTTGCAAAAATGTTGTCAGGAAGAATGAAACTAGCATTCACCAAGTTCAGTCTTACTCAGGATTAGAGAGTTTCAAACAGTTTAATGAAGTAATGCTAGTGGCTTAAGATAAACCTATGCCATACAGAAAATTGGTTGACAAAGAGCCGGATTGACAAGACCCCTACAACTCCCCCTGCCCAGGAGTGAAATCCTTACCCTCTCTAGTAGACTCATTTCTTGGAATTCTGGACTTGTGTTGGCTAACCGCTGCAAAGTATGCGTTAGGTCGTATGTTGTTGAGAAGTAAAATCCATCCACATTCAAGACATGACTAAGCATTGATAAAAAGACTTTGTTGTCCTGCAACTGTTAAAACGGAACAAGACAGTCCTAGTTACTTACTAATATTGTATTACTTAAAAAAAAAAAATACTAAAATCATTAAAAAAACAACAACTGATTTTCTAAGATTTGTTTCATGTTCTGCCAGAATATATTGAGGACACATGACCCAAAATGGACTAGCATGAGTTTAGAATTTTTGAAGTGATTGCATCAATAGGTAAACTAAGTCAATCCAGCCGATTCAACATTTGAGAAAAAGCAATGCTTTATATGACACTTGACTAGTTGTTGAAATTGAACTGATACTAGGTACTTCCCAACCACAAAAGGAAGAGAGGTCTTGCTTCAGAGAACATACAGCTTAGGGAAGCGGGTAAGATTTATCAGAACAGCCTACAGCATGCTGGCAAAAAAGCAGGTCCACCTAAGATATCCTGGTTACCGGTTTGATTAGCCCATTTAAAAAAAAAAAGGCACCAAGGCCACATCTACACTGATTAAGTATCCCAAGCATGCCTTAACTCTGAGACTCTACCCTGGGATATCAAGATGGCTATGCTGCCTCACTTCCATATTTTTGTGCAGCAGGAATGAGGTACCCAGGCTTGCTTCCCTGCTGCAGTCCCAAGCTCAGCATGCAGGTGGGAATTTAGGCCATATCTAGTATGTTACACCAGCCTGAAGTAGCCTTACCTTTGTTCCACAGCCACCCCCGGGTTTCAGTTCCAATGATTTCACCCTTTTTCTACCCCCATCCTCAAACTGGATCCTACTTATGCAAATAAGTGGGAAGTTCAATAATAAGCTAACAAATTATTGTAATTAATTATAATAAGATAACCAAGTATTGGTTAGCTTATTCAATAAAGCTAGCCAGTAATAAGCTAACCAAGATAATTAGATAGTTTAGGTCACAGTCAGACTGGCTGTATTTACACTGGCATCATCAACATTATACTGGTACAGAAAAAAAGGAAATAGTGGACAGAAGACATACCCTGGTTTTACAGCCTTAAACATGGAAAAACTGAGTGCATCTACACATATGCTTTACTGCAAAGTTGATTAATTAGCTCCGCAGTAGTGTCACCATCTACACATGTGGTGCTATTAGGTTGCAGTAGACTAATCAACTCTGCCATAGGATAGTACTGCCCAACATAAGCACTACCTTATGTCAGGGTAGTTGCATGTGCTCAAACACGTGTAAACAACAACAGGGCTGGGCTGAGGGTTGTCCGATGGCTACCCCTGCACTGTAGCACCCTGATGCCCCAGCCAGCTCCTCCACAGCACACTGAGCAAGGGCAGAGCAGCTCTGGGCTGGGAGGCAAATTCCCCTTGGCTCCCTGCCAGCTGGGGTTGTGCTGCTGCAGCAAAATGTGCTGTGATCCTAGGTGCACGTGTAAATGCCACTCCTGGGAGCAATAAGTTACAGAGTTTATTTAGCCGCATTAATAGAATGTGTAGATGAGCCCACTGGTGGAGAATTACCCCAGAAGTAGTCATGGATAAAATGCTACTAGAATAAGCAGCATAAGTTTAGGTATTGTCTTTCTCCATTACTGGGTAGTGGGGAGGTAAAGTACAGTAACAGCTGGCTAGTCTGTCAGTTATCTCAGGATAGTTGATGCGAGTATAACCTACAGGTTATACAAGTTCATCAAGTTCATCTTGAGAAAGGAGGGAATGGTGGTTTCTCAGGTCAGCTCAGGAGATTACTGTAAGGAATGGGGAAGCAGAAAAGGGAAGGGGCAGTCCAGAAAAAATCTGACCTCTTCAACAGAAAAGGAGTGCGGTAGAGGAAAACAGGTCCACAAACTTTAAAGTAGAAGTGGGAGCTAACATGGAGTAACTTGGTCAGAACTCCGGGGTAAGTAATATCTTACACAGTCAGAAGGGACAGCAAATGGGAGCAGAAAGTCAGACATTGTGGACTGGAAAAATGAGTCTTGAATGGCACAGATTCTCTTTAAATTTTACACAGATAATATACTGAAAAAAGCAAAGAAATTGAGTTACAGTGCACTAAAGTACTGCCCACCTTGCTGTCAGTAGCCAAAGCAAATGCTTTCTTACCATGGGACAATTTTTTTTTCCAGTATTTCTCTACTAAAGGTAAAGCCAGAGAATTCTATTCTACTCCTACCTGAATATCAGTTAAGTGTAGCATGGTCTTTTTGTAGGAGAGGATGTCAAAGTCAGCTGCTTTCCAGATTGCATGATTGAAAATTTCACCTACTTTTTTCTTTTTTGTTATTACAATAAGATATGTGCCTGTAAAATAATTAAAAAAAAAAAAAAAGAATAGGGAAGTAAAAAAAAAATAGCCAGAGAAGTAGACTTAACCCCCCTCCAGCACAAAGTAGTTGTCCATAGCAAATAAGGCCATAAAGAAAACCTGTATGAAAATGAAGAAGTTGAAAAACCTCAAGGGTAAACTCAAGTGTAACTTCCTTGAGGTTACCCTTCAAGGGGAGCAGTTTGCTCTACTTCACAAAGACAAAAAAAAAAATTCTGCATCAGCTTTCCTACAGATTTCTTCTTGGGCTGTGATGGAGATAAAGTGCACCTTCCAAAGCACCCATTCCATTCACACTGGTAGGTCTTAATCTGCCAAGATTACAGAGATTGAGCAGGTGACATTTACTCCCAAGTACAGTGTCTCTACATACAGGTGCTTTGTGGGCAGGAGGTACAGAAGATGGAGGACCGAGCCCATGGCTTGGAGAATCAGAATCCACTGGAAATCTACCGTAGCTATGCTGTGACTTGCAAGTCTTACAGGTCATAAGGTAACTGTCATCTCTAGGAATGCTGACCTAAGAGGCTCTAGAACAAGCCAGAGGTTTTTTGTATTGGTACAAAATTATTAAGACAACAGCACACATGAAAATGTGATCACTCGCCATCACAATTATTAGTGTATTGTCCCCTTGGAAAACAAGAATACTCTCAACTTAATCCTAAAGCTGTTATCTGCTTTCAGTGCTATCTTTTTACTGGAGAAGATTATTCCTGTGAAACTCATTTACTGTCAGAATGAATTTGCAGCTCATGGGACACATTTTGATTTTCTGATGCAAACATAACCAAGAGGTTTGAAAAAGCCACATACAACTTGGCGCTGATCAAAATTTTGAACAGGCTATTTAACAAGGATGAAATGCTATTCATTTTTGTACCAACTGCTGTCATATGTTCAAGAAACATGCAAACGAATACCAACAATATCAATATTGGGTTTTAAAGCTGCATATAGTACACTCATACTTCTATTCACAACACATGCGGAAGTGACTGAATTTTCACCCACAAAATTCAAACAGTTCAGTAGTATTTAATCCATCCAATTCAATAAGACATCACATTTTGGACTATAGCTCCCACCTGTAAATTCTGGGCACTTCCTTGGTTGAGAAGGATACATAAGTTTTCAGGATCAAAAATGTGATTTCTTAAGTTCCAATTTAGGATTTACAAACATTAAACAACAATAAAACAGAAAAGACCTGCTAAAGCAAAATATTTATAATTTCATCTCTGAAATTATGTAAAAAAAAAAAAAAGACTGAGGCGATGGACTAACACTATAATTACAGTGCCATATAGGCTTCTGTAGCACTACAAGAAGTGGGTGTTCAGACACATACCTTTCCAGCAGCACTACAAAAATACTGTAAATGCTACTAAAAAAAAAAAATGTTCCTTGATGAAACTGGAACTTCTCTGTAGCACTATTTTGTACAGTTACAAGTAGTGCTACAAGTCTCTTGCTGCCCAAAAATCCCTTAGTTCTCTGCTCTTTCCCTCCTCCCCCATTTGACCCCGACACCAAGAGGAAGGAAAGTAGATAACTTAATGATAGCATGCCAGGGAGCCAAGCTGTAGCCCAGGTCAGTCACTGGCAGCTTGCCCTGTGGTCCTCCTTCTCCAGGAGAAGGGACAGGCTGTTATGCTCCCCTCCTGGGGCAAGGGTGCATCACTATAGCCCCTAGGATGGAGGGCACACCCTGTAGCAACTCTGAACACATGTACACCCTTTGCAGTGCTATATTTTTACAGCATCACAACAAATGCATGCCTGTTTATGTCAAACTAACAGTTTGAAGACAGATGTTAAACATCCTTTTCCTAGCAGGGCAAACTACACTACCATGCCCAGTTGCCTTGCACTGGTAGACTGCCCAGTGGAACTTGAATGGCATAGATTCTCTTCAATTTTACACAAGTAATATTCTGAAAAAACAAAGGAGTTATTTATTAGCTTCATTTCCCAAGTCAACCTAACGTTTTTGTTTTCCATGCAAGATGCAATATTAGTTCTTGCAAGAAGTGAAACAGTGACAGGACTGGAAGTAGTTTTATATTTATCTTCGTGTATAGACAGAGGTCTAAACTAATGCTGCCTTTCAACAAGTACCAGAAAAATGTTACTGAGCTACTTGTTAATTTTGTACCTGAAATAACTATTGCCTTTGCTAGCCAACCACTAACAACTGGCCCAAGATTAGTTGGACAAGCCATTGAATATGTTAAACTGCCTGGGGAAAAATTGAGAAGGGGGGCAGAGGAGGAAGGGGCAACGCGAAAACAAGGATCTCAGACTGCTTTTACTACTATCACATGCAACTTTTCCTCTCAAATTAGCCCTCCATAATTGGGACCAGAACACAGCAGACAAAAATCCACTCCTCAATGTCAGAGCTTGTTTTAACATTGTTAGCTGCTGCCAAGTTGGCAGCAACTGTGGGGGAGGGGGGGAAGGGGTTAAAAAGCCTCTATCTTTTTGCTGCATAGCCAAAGGAGAGAGTGACACCAAAGAATAGCCTCTGCCCCTGCCATCAGCATTTGGCCATAACTCTGGAAGAGTCCTTTTCATTCTACCTTCCCAAAACAAGGTGCTATTCACCAAGCTATTTACTCCCCACTTTGGGAAAATCTAGTTTTAACCATAAACTGCAACCCTTAGATGCAGGTTTAAATGAACAATCCCTTGGTGCATCTCCCAAGACAGAATCATTAGCAATTGTCTGCTAGTCTCAATCTTATTAAGGAACCATGCTGTTTGTAATTTCTTTATTAGGGAGCAAAGAATGGATTAAGTTATAGATGATCTGTCATGACTTTTATGAAGCACCCATGTTCTTCTTTTAGTTAAATACCAGTAGGTCAGACATTCTAAAGTTGCACAAAACTCAAATTTACTTTACAATAAAATAAAAATGAAAGGCATAATATGCTTCCAAAGAAAGCTGGTCCTCATACCTGCAAGTGCGACTTAAATCCTAAAGTAATTATTTCCATCACTTTCACAAGTTTTATGTAAATAATTTGTTCTTACCCTCTGCTATTTAAATAGTCTTCAGGAGTTTAAAGTCTAGTTCCAATGTATTTTTCTTATTAATTGCTGAATCTCCTTTATTTGGAAATGAACTGGAACACAACGATTGTTAAAAAAAAATCCACAACTACAAACCCAGCATGCTAATTTCCAGCTACTTCTCTTTGTGTACCAACATTATCTACTTGAAATCAAGCCTCATAGAGCAGTACTCAAATGCTATAGAAAAAATCCGCCAAGTAAGCCAAAATAAGCATGGGAAATGAGTAGAAGAAAGTGAAACTCCTTGTAGGATTTTCCAGAAATAGCAAGTTAAAAATAAAACTTATTGGCAAATGTGGCCACTTAACTCCATCACTGCACATTTAAAAAATGAAGGGAAAGGATGATCTATGCAACATAACCAAGGATATTTAAAATCCACGGACTGGTGCTCTACTGTAGCAACCTATAATATGATGGCATTGTACCCATACCTTGAAACTGTAACATATCCTCAAGAGATGTTCCACTCCTCACTTCTAAAGTTTTCCTAGCAACACATTTTTAGCACCATGCCTTCACAGCTATGTTTGCCTTACCTGCTACCAGACGGATTGTTCCCAAAATACCATGTATAGGCCTTGTAACAGCTGCAGGGGGAACATCTTTCTTAACTGAAAAGAAAAGAAAGAAAGAAAACTTAAGATGTCATAACACATCCATCACAGAAATGTTAGTTTAGGATTTGATCCAGAAGTTTCAAATAAAAAAAATATGTAGGTTGTTAATGAGTCACGAAGTTACGAACAGGCTATTTAACCATTGATGGCAATGGATTCAAAATTTAAAACCTGCTGGTACAAAGTTAAGAAATGAAAGTTTCCATTTAGTTTAATCAAGAAGTAATTTGAGTTGGAGAAATTCAAAACTTGCGTACGTGAGTCTACCTGGGAAGCTCAGCATGCTGCCCTGCTAACAAGGAATTTCTTGTTTTGAAATAAGCTTTGGGGGCAAGATGGGGACTGAGCCATAGTTTAGAGAATCAAAATCCACTGGAAGTCTACTGTAGTTGTGCTGTGACTTGCAAGTCTTACAGAGGTCATGAACAGAGAATAAGGTAACTAGCATCTCTAAGCAATGCTATCCCTAAAAAAGCTCTAGACCAAGCCAGAGTTGTTTTTTTGCGTTGATGAAAGACTACCAAGACAACAGCACACATGAAAATGTGGTCACCCTTTAATCACAATTATTAGCTTATCATCCCCTTGGAAAACAAGAGTATTCTCAACTTAAACAGCACACATCCCAATCCAAACCATCCTATAAAAATCCTGTTTAACCTATTAGCAAAGACTACACATACCAGCCCCAAAAACCACAGGACCCAACACCCTAACCTGCTACAGGTACAGCAGGAAGACGAATGGCCAACATCCTACTGTTGCAAAACTTGTTAAAATACACTCAAGAGAACCACAGAAGACAGCCAGATTCCTTACTACAGTGGAAGGCAAACCCCTCCCCCATAACATATACTAAATCGGATCATGGGGTAAAATTATCTTGCTTGGCCACAAAATATGGCAAGTCAGTTTGACATGAGTACAGGGTACTTTCTATACTCTAGCCAGGAACCTCTGGGTTTTAGTCCCAGCAGGAACACTGGCACATCCCAATCAAAATCCCCAGCCTTGGCTGCAGCCAGCACCCAATGCTTCTGAGAAAAGCAATAAACCCCAATATGTTTAAAAAAAAGGGGGGCAAGCGGGGTATAAATTGAAGAAGATTCTTTCCAAGCTCCATGTTGGAACCAGCATAGGAAGCACCCGTAGTATAGCACAGGCATAGCTACTCCTAGATCATCCCTGACCAGTGCTTATCCAACCTGTTCTTGAGTACCTCCAGCAATGGAGATTCCACAACTTCTGCTGCCTCTTTGCCTTAACAGTAAAGAAGTTTTTCCTGAGATTGTCTAAACCTACTTTGCTGCAACTTTAAGCCATTGGTCCACATCCTGACCTCTTGTTTCTTGCTGCAGAGAGGTTTTCCTTCTTGTTTATGGCAGTCTTCCAGGTACAGTATAACCTCATAAATCCAAATATTAAAAAAAAAAAAAAAAATCTGGAATTCTTGAAAATCCAGCACTCTTCAAAAGTACACTATATTGGGGAGTAGCGGCAGCTGGTTCCAGACCAGCAGAGGGGGAAGCTTGCATGTGGCCACCACGCTGTATGAAGCCACTGCTCCACGACGTGCCACCATGCCAGTTTCAAAAATCCAGAACTTTTAAGATTTCCAGCAGGTGCTCAGTCCCAAGCATGCCGGATTTATGAGGTTATGCTGTATTAAGAGGGGACATGATAGCAGCCTTTTAAGTGTCATTTCCACATGCTGAACATGTCCACTTCCTTCAACCTCTCCTCATATGACTTGCTAGCTGAGCCCTTTAATCATTCTTGTCACCCAACTCTGGACCTCTCCAACTTTTCCATATTATTTTTAAGATGAGGGTTTAAAGGGTTATTTGCTGATGAACACTAGTGATCAAGAGACAGCAAGCTACAGAACCCTGGGCAGAGAAGTCTTTACAGGTTTAAAGGAATTGCAGAATGCCATTTTCATAATCTGAGCTCTAATCTTACAAAAGACATTAAAACCCCACTACACATACCAGGAGCTACAGCATAAATTCATCTTTAAAAAACAAGTCATCATCATTAAACAAAGTGTAATAAATTGTACTTCATATTAATAATCTGTACTGTGTTGCAGTGCTCAATTAGTTAAGGCAGTCCCTTTCAGCATCTTATTCATTACTTCAGCTTTAAATCTTGGTTTCAAGTTACAAATGTAGTATACCATCTTAATCCAGGTTTCAATTCCCTCTCCCCTCCCACCACCCGAGTACCAGTGTTTCAGACTGACAACCAACTTGTGTTGCCATTCTAAGATGCATCCGTAATAAAAAGCTAGCAAACGCTTCAAAATTTAGCTTTTTAATGGACTTCCCAAGTAAAGAAAACCTGAGATACAGACATGCCCAGCATGTGACACTTTACTGCGCAGTAGACTAATCTACTGCACAGTAAAGCATCACCATCTACATGTGTGAACCATTTACTGCACAGCAAATTAGTCTATTGCGCAGTTAGTTTACTATAAAAATACAGTTCGTAAACTAACTATGCAGTAGCACGTGTAGACACTGACCAAGAGCAAAATTTGTTCCCAGTCAGCCCCAACACCAGAAGGGCCACAGTGGATGGGGAACTCTGCCACTCCTAGCACTGCTCAGGTCCCGGCTCCCCCCAGGAGCCAAACAATGCTACTACAAGATAGCTCCGTGTCCCCTGCCACCCTCAGTCATAGCACTGCTCAGCTCCCACTCCTCACAGGAGCCAGAAGCCAAGCAGCACCAGGACCAGGGGCTTGCAAGGGACATCCCTAAGCAGCCGGCGGTAGGTCAAGAACAGGAAAACCCTGCTGGACATGGGGCTTGTCCCCACATGCGTGGAGTCTGGAGAGCTCTGCAGTGGCAGCTGTCTCCTGGCCCTGTGCAGGAGACAGGGCTGGCCCCCATGCTTCCCATCCCCCAGGCTAGCACTAGCTGCTGCAGGAGGCCACAGGAAGGTGGAAGCAGCCCTGTACTGGGCTGCTCCTATTGAGAGCAGATTTTCTCCCAACAGGGAGTGTGTGTAGACCCCAAAAAGGCTTACTAAGAAGTATTTTACTGTACAGTAAGCCTTTATAGCAGGGATCGGCAACTCCCGCACGTGTGCCAGAACACAGTACGCGAAGCCATCTTGTTTGGCATGCCACAGCCAGCCCCCGCTCTTGACAGCTCCTGCTGGTCACGGAGCCTGGGCCACTCACAGCAGATAGCCAGGAGGCTGCACACCCTGCTGGAAGCTGCCTGGGCTCTGGGGCAGGCAGCAACTGCTCAGCACTCTGGCCAGATATGGCAGAGCTGCCTTGGAACCTGAATACTGACACCCTGGCTCCTGCCTACTGCTCCAGCTGAGCTCTGTGAATGTGCAGATTGAGAGTGCCTCAACACGAGAGAATTTCCTCCCCAGGAGAGCATTCATCACACCATTCTCCTGAGAAATATGAAATATCATAACCAGAAGGAAACAATTCAACATCCTGCTTGACACCACACAACATAAAGGTAAATAGACTGTTCTAACTTTTACCTGAGCTTAATTTGCACAAAATTAATTATTTCAACCAGAAGATTGTACAACACTTTCAGCTCTCCTGTGAAATACGAATTTTAATTTTCCACCTAGGAGAAATTTTAGAGTCTTTGCATTCCCCTAATGCTGAGGAAGGGTGAATGTGCCCAAAAGCCTGCAAAAGAAATCATTCTACAAATATCTAGTTGATCTAATAAAAGATATCACCTCTGCCATGAGTTCCAATTCTTTTTGCAAGCAGACCAATGCAGCTATAACCTGTATCACTGATGTTACACTTAAGACATCCAGTAAACTATTCAAAGATCAATGTTCACTTAAGTGGTTTTCTAGTTGTTCATTTCACTTTCTGAGCAGAAACATTGTTAGTCATGGTATTATGAAGTCTGACTGGGTAACTCCTTAGTAACAGACTGGTTCAAAGAGGCATGGGCCTTCACAGGCAACAATCTACCTTGTCAGATGAAACAAACAGACATCTAATGAAACAGACTGCCAAAGAAAGTTCAAGCCTCTCCTAACCAGTTCATCTCTAAGGAGCCAACCTGTCCTACTTTTTGCTTAACCTGAGGAAGTATGTATGCAAAAGCTAACTTTTCCAAGTATACAGTAGTGGCGTGCAAAACAGGCCATATTTGATTATGATTCGGCCTGAAATCAGCAACAGTGATTTGATTCATTGATTTGTATCACTGTCCCGAGTCAATTAGCCAAATCCAAATCTGAAGATTTGATGCCGATTCAGAGAATCAGCAATTTGGCCATAAGCACAGCTTTAAACGTTTTTTCTACATACCTTGAGGTATTAAGCACAGGTCATGAATGCTGCGATGGCAGGGTGGCTGGAGCATCCCAAAGGAGCATGCTCCCTGCCCCCCCAACATGCTCAGCAGCAACCCCAGAAGCAGAACGGAAGGACTTCTGGGTCCGCCACAGAGCGTGCAGGGGGGGAGGGCCAGCTCAGCGATCGGCCATGGGGAGGACCCCCCCCAGACCCAGGAGGCACCAGTTGCCGAGCCGGGAAGGCACAGGGGGGCCCCCCAGTGCGCATTCCCTGGAGTACCCAAGTGCTTCTGGTTCATTTCCAGGTCTGCTGCCAAGCACGGTGGGGACCACCCCCGTGCTCCTGTGCGATGCTCCATCCATCCCACCATCTCAGCATTCACAAGCCACCTGGTACCTTGAGGCATGTAGAAGAAAAAACATTTAAAGCTGTGTCTATGGCCGAATCAAAACTTCCTGAATCAATTTGGAGAGATTAAAGGGTCTCCCGATTCAATTCAGATTTGGAGATTTGGCCACAAAATCGAATCAGGGACCGAAGCTTTGCATAGCCCTAGTATACAGTTGGTCCAATAAAAGATATCACCCTACGAAATCCTTGCCCCTCCCATAATTTCTGGACCATCACAGCTACAACACCACTCTAATACTACTGTAACTTTTAAAAGGCATAATAAAAGTAATAGCCTACAGTAAGAAGTGAATAAAGTACCTGTAAGAGTGACCTCTGTGGAGACTCTGTCAATAGCAAGAACATCATTTGCTCCATCATCACAAGCTTCCACGTAAAACTTTTCTGGTGTTATGTGCCTGAAAAGAGCCAAGTAAAATTAAAATGTAGCAGACCAACAGAATGTTTCTAAATATATTAGAAATCGTTGCGCAGTTGTCAATTCTGAAACACTGTTCTTACTGGAAAGAGCTACCACACCAGTCACTTATTTGGCAGATCAGCAATTAGATGTACAAGCCTATGAGTTTTAATCAGTTATCCCAGAATTCTTGCCTTGCTTCACAGTAGAAAAAAAAAATCCTTAGGAGTAAGAGATTTAGAGGAAAGAATGTGGAAAGTTTTTTGGGTGAAGTTTCCTTGAAACTAAGCATTAGTCTGTCTGCTAAATACAAGATCCTTTTAGGGATCAGGAAAGGATCCTGTGGCACTTGTGTTATGCATAACAGTAAGAGTTCAACAATTTAGAAGTACAACATTACATTATATAGGAATACTTTTATATATAGCTAACTACACAACACTACATACTCAGTGTTGCCATAACAACTGAAGAGTAGAAACAAGGAAGTTTGTATAAGAATACATCGGAACAAGTGTGCTTCAATACTAGCATTTTCCAGGCTACAAGCCAGATCTGTATTTGGGATGAAACGTCCCTGCATCCAAAGTGTTATACAAACAATTGAGAACAGGAGTTTGCAACATTTCATCCACGGGCTGGATCCAGTTCAGAGTGGGAACCGGACAGCATACAGATGCACTATGTTACCTATTCCCTCTACTGTGGCCCCCTCCTGCACTTACCCTCTTCGCTGTTTCCCAGCTTATCTGCAGCGAGGGTAAATGCAGGCATGACCTAGCCACTCAGGAAACAGAAGTTTTCAGCCCATGGCAGGAGGTTCAGTCACAAGCTCTGGCCCAAAACAGTAGGTTATCGACTTCTAATCTAGAATACTGTAGTTACTGTTCAGGCTCCATATTTACTTTCCTTTAGGTGAATTTTTAATACAGACAATTTGCCAATAAGCAACCTAACCTACATCAGTGACCTGAGGAAAGCAGATACCTGGAATAGAACATAGCTATGGAAACAGCTCGGCTAAAGTCAAATCCATCACAGCCATGCACTGGTACCAATACACCAACTGGTGTACCATTACTGGAGAGGAAAGCACCTCCCCCCATTACATTAAAAGACAAAAAAAGAGTGAAGGCTTTTTTGTGTCATTTTCCACTTGCAAACCTAATCTCTCCTTTAGATTTTTTTTTCCAGCAGATGTTAAGTAGCTCGCAGTTCACAGGTGCCACATCAGCCTGAGGAACAAGCTCCAGGACACAAATGCGTCTCATTAGATTGTTCCCTCGTGGTAGGATCTTGTCTTCCTTAGTGTCAGAATTTATATTTTCATTATGCCTTAGAGTTCTAAATGAACCTCCACAAGAGTTAGAACATCTTATAAGTTATAAATAAATTTATAAGAATAAATTAGAAGAGCAGCAAAATGCTTACTGGGCCCTGAATGATTCTCTCCGATTTACTTTCCTACTTGTCTCAAAATGGATAAATACACCACACACATGGCTTCAAAAAAGAGCTTCCCCTGTGCCAGTCATGACTATATTATGGCTGATGCTGGTTCTCCCTCATTGCCAACTTCCACTTTGTTGCGGAGAGAGAGAGAACAACGCACCTTGTCATACTGTAGTCCTGCTCTCCCCAAGCTGAACATTGTGTGTGACTCAAACTTTACATGATGGCATCTGAGCCTGGTGAGGAAGAGGAGGAGATGGGACATTGAAGCCAGATCTGGACTGCAACCAGATGCAGGCACTCACCAGTGCTGGATACCGGCTAGTTCACACCTGTCACCCCAGCTGCATCTCTACAGAGTTAAAGAACTTCCAGCTGAGTGGGGTTAGTAGGCACAGTGCAGTAGAGCATGGGTATCAAGTGTGCCGCTGCCGAGTATGGCAATGGTGTAGACCAGTGGTTTCCAATCCCATCCTGCTTAGTTTCAAGGAATCCATTCTTTGTAGGCCTTTCTTTTTAGCCTCAGGAGGTCTGCTAGGTCCCTGGAGAGCCAGGGGGACTGCTGTGCCCTCTTGCTGCCTTTCCTCTGAGATGGAATAGAATTAACTTGTGCACTGAGGATCGCTCCCTTGAACAGCAATCACTCTTCCTGAACTCCCCTCCCCCTGGGGTCGTGGTCCCTTAGGGCCTCACCTGACAAGCCTCCTGAGCTTGTCAAAGTCGGCTTTCCTGAAGTCAAGAACTTCAGTGTTGCTGACTGATCTGCCAGCTTTCCAGCGGATGGTGAAGGTGATCAGCTCATGGTCCCTGTTACCCAGCTTCCCATCAATCACTAGGTCACTGATTAGGTCATTCCCAGTAGCCAGTACCAGGTCGAGCAGCACTTTGCCTCTCGTTGGCCCATAGACTTCTTGTGTCATCCACACACGATAGGAAGCTTTGCAACCACTCAGATTTTGCTGAGTGTCCGTCCTGCCAATTGTCACATGATAGAACAAGATCATGGGAACTAAAACTCTCCACAGAGTATTATTCGGAATTGTCTTGCATGTGCAGTTGCAGGGGGGGTGATGGGAGGGAAGAGGAGAGGGAAGGAAGGGGAAAGTGGAGAGAAGAGAAAATTTTGGCCCGAAGTACATGCTAAACTGGGGGGGGGGGGCTTTTCCTACCAAACCACAACTCTGCTTTTAAGTCTTCAGATTTGCCTTTGGAATCTGAGATTTCTTCAGAGACATGATCCATCATCTAGGCTGACAAGCTCTTGGTGAGGTTCATTACTCAGCCTTGTTTTCAGTATACACAACAAGGGGAAAATCTGCAACAACCTTGAGTGTTTGTCCAAATATCTTGCTTACTGATATTTAAGTTGAAAAAATCCTTAGCAATACTAAATCTAAAAGTTGGTCCTTAAAGCTGCTTGGGAAGATGGAAGAAATACAAAGTGGACACATATTTATACAGATTAATGGATAGCAGATATTCATGGTAACTTCCAACTACACAAAGTCTGACACACTAGGTATACATATTCAAGTTTCTGATCAGAGGTGATGCACAAGTTATTTTTTAAGTCCTGCTTACATTTCTAAAGTGGCATTTTTAGAATTCTAGTATTGAAAGCTCATAACAGGTAGATTGAGTGTCATTTATTATATTCCTTGCTTACTGTACAAAACAATGAAAAATTACATAAAGTTATTTGAAAAATTTAATTTTCATGTTCCTCAAGTAAAGATAAGAATTATCAAACCAAGACTCCTTTCAGTGCTGTTTGAGAGAGAGAGAAACAAAGTACATGCAAAGAAAAAGGACAGACTCAAGAATCAGAACACTTTCAAACAACCTAGGACTAAAGGGAATAAAAGTGCAGTGGAACCCTACCAAATAAGTCCTTTTGGTTTGTTCCTGCAGCTGACATGATCATTATTATGAAATGGTTGTAAGATCGGTCTAGGTACCAATGTGTATATGGAGTATACCGAGTACTGCAGTAACAGGTAAAACCTTAAAAAAAGTGACTCCATTCAAGTTACTACTATTCCCCACATTCAAAAATAGTGGGTCACAAACTCAATCCTATACAACACAGAGACTGTTCCAGTATCTCACCTGAGCAATTATCCAGAAAATATTCTATGCAATACTTTAAAGGGAGAACAATTAGATTTAGATTAGGAACTACTACTACAAAAGAGTAAGATTCATACATTTCGGGTATAAATGAAGCCAGACTAAAATACACATCTTGGATCCAAAACCGCTTTTACACATTTGTTCTAAAGATAATAGCATGTCCATAAAAGAGGCAGAGAAATGCCATGGAATAAGTTCTGCCTTCAACAAACTTTCCTAAAGTCTTTTTGGTATACATGTTCCCGCTTAAAATGATAGCAAGATAAAAAGGAAAAAGAAAAAGTTGCAAAGTTTATGTATGAGTCACTTACTGAAGAACAGAGGGATCGATTCCTTGTATAAAAAAGTATTCTTAAATAATCATTAATTTCATTTTTCCATTAACACAAAGCAGAGCTCAAAAGGACCATTTTTCTGCTTTTAAAGTTTTGGCAGCTTGCATTGCTTTACTGAAACCTTAAAAAGGAAACAGCAGTGAACTTAGACATAATAATCTAAAAACCAACTTCGGGTTTACACAATTAACAAGCTCCTAAAGCAAGTTTTAAAGTAATAAAACCTAAGGAGAAAACAAAATACAATTCTGATACCACAGCTTACACACCAGACATAAAGCTTAGAAATTAATAAAAGATGCTCTTAAAGTTGGCATATCTGCTTTGTAACTTCACATGCCAAGTTTGTTGGTGTTTGTTTGTTTAGTAATCAAAAAATAACTTTAAAGCCACCATAATTAAAAACAAAAACTCGGAGTGACTGGTGTGTCATGAAGGAAAAAAAAATGCATAAGATACATGAATTCTGTCCAATGACATAATGGCACCTAAAGATAGTACTGTATGCAATATTGCTTAAGCAGCCCTTTTAGCCTTCGATACTGAAACCCTGACTCCTGTAATTGATTATTTCACCATAAAGGCTGAACATTACTCTAATGCAGGAAACTCCTTAAATGCTAGCCTCCAAATACTGTAATAAAAATAAACACAAACCAGCACATCCTGTGCTGTGTGGTAATGCAGGCACTGCATTCAAGATAGCATCAAATGGTTTCTGCTCATATTGTTCTCATTCTTAATCCCAGTGTATACACAGAACTCTGAAGGTGTGTTACAGTATTGATGCCCAGTACTGTACCTTTGACACTATAGACTTGAAACTTTAGAGACTAACAGCAGTCTTTGGCACAGAAGCCCACTTAGTTATTCCATTAAAAAAAAAACATACAGAAAGCTAGAGAGGTCCACTGGTGGGGAGGAGGTCAGAGAAGGAGGGAGAGAAATCACGTGAAACATAGTCCCTATGTCTAGAGCCTTAAAAGGAGAAGTTAATAAAAGAAAACAGCTACTTCAATATTAAGAAATATTTCACAGATTTCATAGACTTCATAGACATTAGGGCTGGAAGCGACCT